CTGCAATCTTGTATTTGTTGAAACCTTCAGTCCTCTTGAAGCTTCTTAGGAACAACAGGAATCTACCGTTCAATGCATTGTCTGCTGTTGCTTTCCAATGAATGCCTATGAATGCCAGTGTTGGCATTTATTGCAAGTCAAAATTGACTGCCAGCTAGCAAAGTGCATCCCCTGTTGAGTAGTGTCGTCAATGTAGAGATAATGACAGCTCACCCAATGGCAGGTCTTCCAGACCTGCTAAAGTTTGGATGACCTTAAGAACTAGCTGTTGAAATTCTTATAGCCCCGGAGGATTTGTCTAACAGGGCTGGAATAAGGGCCGTTATGAGACCTGGATGGCAAAAACATTTCTTACCCTCCATAATGCTTCTTTTCAACTGACTCAATGCATTCCTGAAGTCAATGAAAACAACAAACAACTTTAAATCCCGTGTATTAAAATGAGGATTAAAAAAAGCCTAGTGGGCTGAAATTAATGATGATTCAGAAATGAGTCAGCTATTGAACTTTCTTTCAAAATCTGTTTTCAAGAAGAAAAAAAAAAAGAATAGTATGAATAATTGGAAACTAAGGAGCTTTTGCAAGTAAATACTTGCAGGTACTTAGTGTGTGTAGAAGTGAGGAATTCCAGAAAGCATGCATGAGAAGGTACACTAAGAAAACTAACTAGTGCTATTACTGACCACTAGCAAGTATCTTTTAAAAATAATGAGTAACTGCTAAGATTCCAGATGAATTTTTTGAAAGACTTGAGAGATCTGACTGCATATGACCACTAGCAAGTATCTTTTAAAAATAATGAGTAACTGCTAAGATTCCAGATGAATTTTTTGAAAGACTTGAGAGATCTGACTGCATATGAGACATTTACCCTTGAAGTGAGTAGAACACATCAGTGATCCATCCGTGGTCAGGTCTGTGACCATAATCCAACAGGGCACACACTGTGGGCTTGCACAGTCCTGTAGAGTGTCCCTTGTGTTTTGACATTACTCCAGAATATTTCACACTGGTACGTTAAATTAGTGGTATTTTTTAAATTCCAAGAATTTTATTAGAAAAGAAAATTCATATGTTTAAAACTAAAGTCACCGTTTGATGTTATGCTGCTATGGATAAAATGCATGACAGATGGCCATTTTGCCAAGAAATCCACTTTATAAATTCCGAAATAAAAGAAAAGGGCTAATCTTTAAGACTGTTTCAGTTGAGCACTTATGAGCCCACTTGGCAGCTTGGACAGGTAAGTGAAGTTATTCACAGTGGATGGATTTGCACCAGTACATAACCTGTCACGAAAATAAAACTGACAGATTAAGTTATTGTCTTCGTATTTTGTCATATGCCTGTGATGTATTTTATTGCATGTAGATCCTGCTTCAGAATAAAAATAAGGTAACATCCATTGGGGCAGTATATACTACATAAAAGCCAAATAAGCCTTTCTCATGCTTTGCATTGATTCAGACATAAAGCTCGTGGCACCACATACAGCCTTGGAAAACCACTTCTTTTATGTGTTTCAGCTTTATCTTGAGATGTAGACACTCACCTAAAAGCTCCAAAAGTATTTCTATGTTGGTTTTGGACATCAGGTACTTTTTAATAAGTGGGAAAGATTCAATGTAGTTACTTTCCTGTGCACTAACAGAAAAGACAAAAATAATTCCCTGGTCTGTTTTAGGCACAGAAAGTAGCAAAATAGGACAAGGTTTTTCTTCTTTTTGTGCCTTTTTTCTCTCACCCATGGCACACAGCACTGAACAGTAAATTTATTTTACAGTCCATAGTATGTCAGCTTTGCTGTGGTTTTTTTTTAGGGGGGGGGAAGATGATAATTTCTTAAACTTTTCATCAAATTTTTGATTCACTCCTGCTCTCCCCGAGTTCATCATACAAATGCTTTCAGCTTTTCTTTTTCTTTGTTTGCATCCATTCTACTCTGAAAGAGCACTATTTATAATTTTCCTCCCTTTTCATGCTCTTTTATGAAGCTCAGAGCTTAATGTTTGCAAGAAACTTATGTTGCTAGTAAGGTCTCAGTTCTGGAAACACAGGGAGGTGTCTGTTTGACAGGTACCTGTACTGCTGCTGAGGCCATCTCTGCTGGGGCCTTACCTGGCCTGGCTTGGGCTGAATCAGCAATACAAAGAGGGGTCAGGCTTAGGCATTTTAAGTGTGAAAGATAAAACGTTTTTTCTCACACTGTTTGCCAAGAAACCCCACCTATCCACGAAAAAAAAAAAAACCACACAAAGAAAACCAACTCTCCCACCCCCCAAATTGCTGCAACAACTTCCGGTTTTGTGAATTGTAAACCATACCTCTCTGGGTTTAGAGGCATTGCTCCTAATGTTCAAAACTTCAGTATGTAAAGGGAGGTACCTGAATAAAACCGGCCTGACTTTCCAAAGGGTTAAGCAAAGGGAGCTATAGGTATATTTACAGCAGTGGATAAAAGAGTAGATGTATGCATTTAATTTTACTTACTCAATGTGTAAAAATTGTGGCTGCAGTGACAGGTTATTGCTGAAAAACATTCATGTACATCTTTCCACTGAGTAATTGTTCTCCCCTCAAAAACAACAATGAAAAAAGTGTCTAGGCTTTCCTCCCAGAACTGCAAAGATGCTCGAAATTAGCTCTCTAGTTTTCTTCAAATCTCTCCTGAATATGCTTAGCAGCAGTCATCATTATTTCTTACTGATTTCCTGCTTGGCAATATATATCTTGCCCTACCTCGAATGCATGCAGCAGAGATTGCCAGTTTGTGCATGTGCATGCACATGTGTGTGCACATGTGTGCACATGTGTGCACAGTGCTTCTTATGCAGCAAGGGCTCTTGGGACACAACAGTAGCACAAACATTAATTGCAGAATTGCACTGTGAGAGAAAATAATTTGTCCTGTTTTCTCTGCTTGCACCATAGATCCATGACCTACAGTTGCCGCTTTTTAATGGTGGAGAGAAGGCCACAGTTTATTCAATGCTGGCCACAAATCAAAGTATTGCTCTTTCTCTCTCTCTCTCAGGAGCTGAGCTGCTGTGGCACCCAAAGGCAGCTGAGCTTTGCACCTTGACTCTGGCTGGAACCATTTTTTCCACAAGAAAGTGGAAAAAAACCTTGACAAGCAGGTTATGACCTTCTTGTGCCAGCCTTCCTCTCTGTATTCAAAAAGGCCAGTTTATTGACATCTTCTTGATCTCATGAGCCTGGAGTAATAACTTCCTAAATCTGCTGCAGGCCATAACAGTTTCTTTTGACATCATTGATTCCTCACGCATATTTCTCATAATCTGTCATCTGGAATTAACTCTTGTTTTCAGTTAAAACTGGTATATTTTGTCACATAAAATATGTTTTCAAAGGTTACAGATTTTCGATTAAAAATATCTCACCCAAACCCCTGGCTTTAAAGACACCACAGGAAATTATATATGCACCAAGATGTGTTAAAAAAATATCATCTGAACAAAGCAGCTGAAAGACAAGCAGAACTAGACAGTTGCAATTAGTTTCCCTGCCAAAACTCACTCCCAAGTTCAATAGTTAGGTAAGGTTGTTCGCTTCTTTAGGTCCCACAGGTCATTCCTATGGCTGTATCTGGATATATCAAAACATTTGCAAATGCAATTGTAAGACAAGACCAGGCAGAGTTCTATCAGTTTTTCTAGATGGAGAATCTCTGCCTCCATTAAATATCACTTCATTTGGAAAAAAAAGTCCCATTCTTTTTCCTTCAGCTGCTGCAATCACTACTAAGCGACTGTCATGACAGACAACACTTATTTCAGAACAACTCAGCATTTTGCTCAATGTACTTTTTTTATCTAACATGTATATTAACCATATCCCACTGAGCCTTGAGCATCTATTTTAAAGAATCAACTGGAGAATGGAATCACTGTTGTGAAATGGTACACAAGTACGCATCTTTTTATTTAAAGTAACAACAATTGTCAAGCTCCAAATGACACAAATATGATGAACACAAACCAACAAATACGCAAAAGCAACTTTGAATATATGAGCTAAAGGCTTGAGCTGAGACAGTTTTAAGGTGCATGAAAACACAGGTGAGTGTTTTGCCTACCCGATGATGAACTTCTCCCAGAACAATAAAGACTGGATTTGGCAAATGTATCGAGTATTTGCAGTAGTCGTAGGGGTAATGTTATTGTTTGAGTGTCCTCTGCTGGACAGCACATGGCATAGCAATAAAGCCACCAGCATGCGTTGGATGGATTTTGCTTAGAAAACAATATCACTATAAAATTCAGATTATTTCTTGTGTTTCATAGTCACTTAACTAAAAAAATTAGTTTTTAATAAATGCTACAACTCTGAGATTTTTAAAAACAATTATTTCCTTTATGGCGGCAGCCTATTTGTAGTTTTAAGTAGGCACAAAATTTTCAGCTGAGCTAAGATAAAATGCTTCTTGGAAAAATACTGCTTTTGTCAATTTTGCAACGCAACATTGTTGCTATGATTCGTTTAGATAAGGTGGAAACGTTTTGCTTAAAGGCTTTGGTTTTATTGTGAATTCTGCCTGAATTTGATGAAATCAGAACACTGTTGTCAGCCTTGAGCTTGTCATTTCTGTGGCAGTCTACCGCATGGATCTGCGTACAGGATCAGCATCACATTTTGTGGGCCTTTGGCATGTGGCTGTTCTGCCAGCAGTCACCTTTGACCCCACTAAAAGTTGCAGACTGGCTCTATCGGAAATGCCAAGGGAGGTTTTCCTTTATCTCTTGAGAATTTGGTTCAGTTCCTGTAACTTGTTCTGTCTGTTACTGGTAACCAGGTACACGTAAGGCACTTTCGTACTTGTATGTTAGTTTTTCCTTTTGTTGATCACAGGTTTGCTATTAGTTTTATTTTCTGAATGGTGTTATTATTTATTATTTAGTTATTCATAACATTGTGAAAGTTGTTTCTAAAAGAAGCTCTCCTGATTCATGTGACACTGGTCTAAATGGCTTTCTAAATACATGATTCATTCTCTGCATCAGAAGAACCTGGCAAATGTTCTTTGATCTTGCAATTATCTTCTTCATTCATTGGACCATCTTCTCTTCCTCCATTCTCTGTAGGCCTAGAGTTCTTATTTTGAAAGTGTTTCTTCACCAATATATAAAAAAAGATTGCAATCAAGTAGGAAGGACCTCTTAACACTGCTGATAAACCAAGGTAGACATACCTGTGGGATAGAGCATAGAAGATAGGCATTGAAATTTTCAAAGACACTGAAGAAAATCACTGCAATGGCTTTTAAGGATCACATATATACCAAAACCGCATAGTAGCTTAGGGGAAAACATTAAAACTCATTCTTTGTGAATGGTACCATAAACTGGACATTTTTGCTTGCAAAAACATCTGTTAAAGAATTGATAATATTCTTTTTGCTTATGAAGATAGTTGCAAAGCGAAACTTCCATCATCTTCCCTTTGTTTCTAAAGATTTTCAGATCGCTTTAAGGCCTTAGACTTTCTAGGGCTAGAAATATATTGAGATTGCCAAAGTGGGCTATTTTATGTAAAAATAAAAACTACATCAGAAGTGCCTAAGGTTTGGGTGAAACAGAAAAATCTCTGGAGTATTCCTCCTGGAGACCGACATTGTTTGTGTTTAACCAATACCTTCAGCTGCTCAGTATGATTTTCTTTCATTTATTTTTCTCTCAAATGTGGCCAATGCACACAGTTAACAGTCTTGCCAGTATGAATAAACTACCTGCAAATAAGGTAAATTTGGGTACCTTTCCTCTTGATGGTAAATCATACAATCCTAGATCTTTTAAATTGACTTAAAGGATATTAAAAATACATATTTCATTCCATAAAGCCTCTGTCATTGATATAAAATGATTTTTGCACAACATAAAAACTGACTGAAAAACTAAGGGTTTAAGATGTGATCTTAAGATTTCTCAATTTCAGGAATTCTGGACTGACCTATATCTGAGTCCAGAGTTAGTATCTGACCATAATTTTTGATGAGTGGCCTCACACACTAAGTATAACAGAACAAAGCATGCCTATCTGTAGAGAGGAAGTGCATGAGGCTTTATGTGCCCTAATTTGCCTTACCTGTATGCATTGGAGTCGTATAGCCTGCAAGCCCCTCGCTGCCCACAGCTTGTGCTTCCCCATTTCAAGCACGTCTTGTCAATCAGTGCACCGAAATACACCGGCGCTGGAATCCCAGCTGCAAGGAAACAAGCAAAAATGTCACAAGATATCACAGGAAAAGACATCGTTTTAGAAATCAGCTTTATATTTTCTTAGTGGCAAGTTACATGCTGCAATAGTGGCAATAGGTGGATTGGACTGTGGGGAGCTTTCCCTTTCCTTTACCAGAGTAATTGTAAGCTGGGACACCCTCTCTGTGCTGAGGGGATCATCAGTCCCCAGGAAATGTGGTCTGGTGGGTTTGGCCAGGCTGGTAGTCATGCACATTGGTTTCTCAAGCGTGGTTCTGAGAGCCACTGCTGGCTTCCAGTGCATGCTAAGATCCTGCAAGGGAGAGCTGGACTGGTTGTGTATTTGGAGCACTGAACTGATGCATAGTTCCTTCTTCTATGCATAGCCTAAATTATCCACACTGACTTCATATCTATCTGATAGCAGCTGATAGCCCCTTCTGCCTGAAGGGACAGCACAAAGTATACATGATTAGAGAAACTGAATATGCTTTTCAAAAATGTCTATGAGGGTAGAGCAACTTCAGTCACATCCTTAGTGTGACTTGGCCAGATATGAGCTTATACTTTACTGCAAAACAACTGCATACTGCAGACGTGGGACAAAATCCTAGCCTTGCTGAAGTAAAGACGAGTATTAACTTCAGAGGAATCCAGGTTTCAGCATGTACAGGACCATGTTTCACATTAGCTTTGTTCCTACAGGAGCATCCTGCATTCTTGTATAGGAAATAATTTATTTCGTAAAAACAGGTATGCTCTCAGCCTGTTCTACCCTAGGGCTCTTGTGAGAGTCTGAACTCAGTAATCTATCCGTAAAGGCCTGTGTATTACGATCACCAGTGCTGTAGTCAGGGTATGATGGGACAAATGCTCATTTTGGAGGTTCCTTAGAGAAGGAAGACAGGAGCACATCAGATTTGATCTCTGAGTCACTGAAGGAAATGCCAGCTTTTGTGAATCAGTGATAGTAGCTCTACCCTTTCTTGCAAAGGAAGAAGCGTGCTGGCTCAATGTGCTGAAGCAGAAGTCTATAGAAGGGGGCAGTTCTTTTTTCATAATGCTTTTTTTAATTTCCCATGGCTGAAAGAGCTCCAGGAATCCCATTGGCATTGCTTGTCCTGAGAGCTGGGGCATAAATTCTGCCCCTCCATTGTGTGATGAGGAAAGTAGAAGAGAACGAGGGTTGGACACACCTTCCTATCTCAAAATGTTCCATCACAATCCTGAGTAGAGACTACAGTCCTAACCTAGCTCTGATTGTAGATATTTGTAAGCTGCTGTTGATTTTTTAGGCTTCATAGCAAACCCATGTGGCTTGACTTTTCACACACATTTCTCTACATTTCTGAAATGCAGGTATTCCTGTCCACTGACAAAGAGAATAAAAGGAAACAGAGAGGTGTTTTCTTGCCTGCCTAGGCATCTTAATCAACCATCTCATTAGCAACTCTCAAATAAAAAAGGAAAAAAAAGAGCATTGCAGCATGCTTAAAGGGAATCGAAATCTAAGCTGTCGTCTACCAGGAAAGTGAAGTTTCAACATGGAAAAAACACTCTGCTATGAGCAGAGTTGTATTAGTGTTGAATGAAGTCCTACTAGAGCACGTCTTTTTGATCTTGCAGCATTGTGTCTCAGTGAGCCATTGGTTGAATCATAAGTTTGAGACCTTATAGTTTTGTTTAGAAATTCAAGATAATGCTTTAATTTTGCTTAGAAACTCTTCCCATTTTGGAACACCAGGCTCCCAAATTGCAACACCATTTAATCAGCACGTCAAAGATTTTCAAAATTGTGTTAGCTTGTTTCCCAATGAACTCTTGATTGAATATTAGACCTTCAGGAAAAAAACAGGATCTTCAGGAACAGCCCAGGATCTAACAACTATTTCAAGGATACATCTGGTTTAAAAATGGTCATTTAAAGCCATTTGAGCAAGCATCTTAGTTATTCAGAATGATTTCTCTTACCTAGCATTCTCATAATGAGCGTGTATAGACCAACTGCAAGAGATTTCAACTCTGGCTGAACGCATCTGAAAGAAAGAGATATAAGTATTAAGTATTTGCGTATCTAGTGCTTAGACGTGCCTATTAAACTGCTGTTAATTACCCTGAATTTAATACTCTTAATGACAGAAAGCCAAGCTTTAGAAGGAGAGTACTTCCTACATCTGCTGAAAATATATTAAGTGGTATGAAAAAGGTGAATTCAACTATTGTTTTCCATCACATAGCTCCTGGGAAGTCCATTCACTAAGCATAATCAAAGAAGTGAAATTTTAAAGTCATAATCACAGTCTATCCCAGTCTTATTGAAATGGGCTCTCCAACTGCCTTAGTTCCCTGGCATACATTTTCCTCACTTCATGGGAAATACCTTACTCACTTGATGGGTAATATCACACTGCCCTAAGACAAAAATGTTGCAAGTAGCTGCATTAGTGCAGCATCTTACTATTCTCGAATGGCATTCCTCTATACAATGCCACATCTTGAACTATGCAAAGCCATCTGGCCATCTGGCCATCTGTTTCATGCGGAACCACACTCTAAGCAGCAGAAACAGGCTCTGATCTTGAATCCGTTACATATTCAGCCTCTGCCGTCTCCTTACAAATATTAACATGGTCTACCCTCAGAAAGATGTCTCACAGAGATGAGGAAGGGAGGTGAGTTTGCATTCTGTTTTCTGTGCTTATTTAGGATGACTTAATGCTCTAAGGACTACCATTAAATTTGCCACTGATGCATTTTTCTACCGATTGAGCTTTCTCTTCAGGTTACTGAAAAGTATATGCTCATTTGCACACATGGTTCCAAATCACATCCTGGTACACTTGCACCTGTGTACCTCAACAGACATGAGCATAAGAGCCTCAGGCTGAGCCCTCAGATGTCCTGAATTTCCAGACATCTGATAAGCGCAATCTGTTAGGGCAACCCCACATCCAGAAATCCTGACAAATGCATGGCATTTTCAAAATCCATACAGCCAAAATATCCAAGCAGAGAAAGAGGAAAACTTGGGCGTATAACAGGCATAAGAGAAACCATTATGTGGTAGTTGGAAGCAACACACTAGAACCGACTTACAGACAGCAGCAAAGTAAAGTTTGATGCTAACAGCTACAACCAAATAGGAAATGACAAAACTCATTAAAGAAAGCACGTTTTACTGCAAGAGGGTCTTTTAGAGAGAAGCCTAAACACAACTTTGATCCCCTTATTGGGAAGCTTCAACCATTGGTACAGTTAGTTTTACTTACCTAAACATAATCATGTATGCTGGGGTGCCTCCCAATGCATAAAAAAAGCCACTTATGACTTGTATTACTGTATAATAAATAAACCTCATTGAACAATCCTCACTTTTTGGACATTGTCCCAAGGTGGCAGAATTATTTCCTGTCCATGAACTGCTGGCTTCAAGACAGCTGCAGTTATGGAAGACCTGGAAGACACAAAGCAGATTTAGAATCATAGAATCAGAGAATAGTTTGTATTGGAAGGGACCTTTAAAGGTCATCTAGTCCAACCCCCCTGCCATGAGCAGGGACATCTTCAACTAGATCAGGTTGCTCAGAGCCCTGTCCAACCTGACCTTGAATGTTGCCAGGGATGGGGCATCTACCACCTCTCTGGGCAACCTGTGCCAGTGTTTCACTACCCTCATTGCAAAAAATTTCTTCCTTATGTCCAATCTAAATCTACCCTCTTTTAGTTTAAAACCATTACCCCTTGTCCTATCGCTACAGGCCCTGCTAAAAAGTCTGTCCCCATCTTTCTTACAAGCCCCCTTTAAGTATTGAAAGGCTGCAATAAGGTCTCCCTGAAGCTTTCTTTTCTCCAGGCTGAACAACCCCAACTCTCTTAGCCTTTCCTCATAGGAGGGGTGTTCCATCCCTCTGATCAGCTTCGTGGCCCTTCTCTGGACCCGCTCCAACAGGTCCATGTCTGTCTTGTGCTGAGGGCTCCAGAGCTGGACACAGTACTCCAGGTGGGGTCTCACCAGAGTGGACTAGATGGGCAGAATCATCTCGTTCAACCTGCTGGCCATGCTTCACGTCTCTCGACCTGTTGGCCACACTTGGTAGGACGTTGCTCGTGCAATGGGGAATCCTGCCTTCAGACATAGGCAGAGCCTGAAGCCTTCCTAAGCATCCTGTTCCTATCTTATTTGCCTTTCTTCATGCAATGGGCAACAGCTTCTACTTTTCTTTCCTTTCCTACAAAGAGTGCTCAGAGTCAGAAGGGATGTTCCATGCCAGCATGTTTTTATCAGTGGACACAGCACCCCTTTTTGGAAGATGTTTGGAGTACCTGCAGGATCTCTGAGGCTGGCTCAGCTTTGTGTCCCTGGAAGGCAAAGGGGAAAAGCGAGGCTCAAGGAGCTGTGCCTTTTGCTGCTAGGTGACACCACCTGTTAGCTGACATGTCTCTGTGAAAAGCACCTGGATCACAGGCCCCTCTCTGCTAACGCTGATCCCCCAGAGTTACCTCACAGCTGTAAGCAGCAGCTACCTGTCAAGACACAGCCCATACAGAGCACCGAGATCAGCAGTAGGTGCACTGATAGCTTAGGAGCAATAGCTTTTAACCAGGGCTTGAGGGGCTTGAAGATGTGCTGAGGCAAGGGGAACTGTGAGCCACAAACCTTAACCTCTACAGAGACAGACTTGTGTGGGAGGCAGTAGTCCCACTGTCATGTATGTTGCTGAGCCCTTCTCCCCTGCCTCCCACCTTAAGGTTTTAGCAAAGAATGTCTTTTGGAGAAGACGACTGTAGACATCAGAGAGAAACCAGCCACAAAGAAAAATCTGTTGGAGAGAAAATTCTGTCTGAGTGCAAGAGACAGCTCCAGATCATGTATCTTCTGGAATGATCATCTGGCACCAGAAAACAGGGGAATGACACAGTCCAACGAAAGCTTATAACCGGGGACTGGAGCTTCCTCTCTGGGACTCTGTGCATTATCCCCAGCACTCTGTGCTGAGCAGAAATCACTCGGCCAGAAAAATAAGCCGTATCCTGCCATCCCAGAGTCTCACACGGTGGAAACAAGCTGCCTCCCCTCAAATCATTTTTCATACTTACACATTAATGATCAGTATCAGGGAAGATACTACACTATCTTAGTGTACTTCAACCGTTGGCTGAAAACCTCAGGGCAGCCAGAATGAGGTTTATGAAAGGCAAGCCATGGACAACCTTCAGACAACATGTAACCACTTTGAATTGTTTGTTTCCCTCTCTTGTTCAATCTACAAAAGATGAAGGCTAGGAGCTACAACAAAGAGCTAGGGCTTTTTGCTTAATGTGCAGTAACTCAGAGAAATCTCTATATCTTCTGTGCTGTTTGTAGCCAGAAATCATAGATACTTTACTGACTGGTCCCCAGTAACTTTGGTTTCCCTTAAATGCATTATACTACTAAATGCCTGAAAATAAGCTAGTAAAAAAACTCAGAAACTGAGGCAGGGTCTTACTGTGTTCTTTCCATGTCCCACCGAAGTTGTACACCCAGCTAGACAGGCTGAAACATATGTCAGTCCGTTGTCTCCACACACAGGATCCCACACATTGGAGGCACATTTGCAGTCAGAGTTGCACTCAGAAAATACGGCATTTTCATGGTACGGAATGGATTTGCTTAGAAGTTAAGTTCAGACAGGAATTAAAGAACTTTTAATTCAGTGCTGATGGCAATGTAGTTCCTTCTGTGTGACAGTATCGCTGTCCTGAAACCCACCACGTATGCCCAGGACATACATTTTCATAGCTGAGTCTCTACAGTATTGATCTCTTTGCTTGAGATTCCATCCTACTTGCACTGATATTAAAGTGATTACTAGATTATAAAGAATTTTAAAACAAATAAAAATGGTGCTACTGATTTTAGCTGGCAGATGAAGACAGAAAAGAAAAAGGAAAACCAAAAAGGCTTTGAGAGGTCAGCTAGGCTATCCCCTAATTGTTGCTGCTAGCAACAGTTAACGCAGCCTTATCACATACATCTTTACCTGTTGGTAAAAATGCACCAATTATAGAAACTAGATTTCCTGGTCTCCGTAACTAAAAATACTCCTTTCTTAAAGCCTAGCCTAACTCTTCCTAGCGGATATGGAGAATGCAGTATTCCCTTTTACTTTCAGACATCCTTTGGGTATTGAGATTTGTAACAAAGAGGGATGTCTTCCCTCACCTTCTCCTTTCTGGGTTAATTAAGTTTACATGCGTGCCATTTCTTTCATCTTACTGCTTACTAAGCATATTCCCTGGTCCACCATTTGCATTGTTAGTGAAAACTTTGCAGGGTACAGGATAAGCAAAAGACCATTAGTCCTCAGGTTCCAAGAAAAATAAACATCCTTGGCATCCTGCCTGTCCAGTTCCACCTTTTCAGCTATGAACCAGTATGGCTTGATAAATGAACAGTAGTGATAAATTACTGAACAGCGGGTAAGCCTTCAGGGAGGTGCAAACAGGTTCACACCAGCCACGAGGTACTCTGAGGAGGCTGGACATGAGGCAGGGACAACCGATATGCCAGTGTGTCGCTGGGCCCCTTGGACATATCCTAGCATGCATCCCCTGTACTGGTATCTTTACCTACTCCAAGAGAAAACAACAGTTTGTAACTTTTAAACCCTGCTTCTCTCTTGAGAGAAGAGAGCACCTTCAGTAGGCATAAAAGCTTCATTTTGGTTTACAGTAGGCTGAGAGTTTAGCATGTCTTTCCATCTCTGTGCAGGATATGCTACCAATGCTCTCCGTTAACATATGCTTCACCCTTTTACTGAATACACTTCGCTAGAAAATTGCTTCTGGTGTAGAGATAGCACTGTGTGAAACAGCAATACCACTCCACACAGCCAAACAACCTACATCGGTAATGATGCCATTTTGCTAATGTATTTCTAATTAATCTTTAACCAGTGTTCTGCTTTGCCAGGCTGACACTCTGCTGACCAACAAAACTATCACAATGACAAGTGGTAGTGTTCACTTTCTCTTAAGCATTGCAGAAGTATGTTTCTCTTTTAGCCTTCATGTCATAGTACATTTTTTGCACTATTGCTGCCGTGGAGAAAAACATACTCTTCTTCATTTTATACTTACTTTTTTTCCCTGCTACTACATGGTTCTCACAGCCAACAAAAAAGTGCAAGAGAGTGATGACGTAGGCCAAAAATGACATGGTAAATGCAAACTTGGTTGCTCCAATGATGCTCATTTTGTACTTTTTCATTATGAGCCCTCCTAGGAAAATCCCAATACCTACAGGAGGTAAGGATGTCAATCCTGAAAGAGATTATAGAAGGGGAATGCTAAAATAAAAGAGTCACACTGGGTTTAAGAGCCAAACTCTGTCCTCAGCTTGATATCCCTGGCAGCTTTATGTTGTATTATGATGAGTCTAGGTGGCTTTGTGCTCAACCTAATCCCTGGGTTGCGTATGCTATTTTTGAAGTGCCTAACCCTCAAAACCCACTTCCATTGCAGCATTTAAAACTCCCGCACCACATTAATTGCATATTTGGGGTGCCCTTGCTATAATATAACATAACATAATATAACATAAATAATGCAATATAATATAATATAATATAATAATTTATTCTGGTCCCATAGGCACCAAAACTATAGTTTGTACGCTGCCTTTATATAATTCAAGTTCAGGAGAGATTGCCATTTACATCAGCCTGTTCTGCAAGGAATTCAGTCCCAGAAAAGGCATGCCAGAACTTCTCCCTGTGCACTGCTTATAGCATAAGCAGTCTTTGCACAATGTAACTTACCTATTAGAAAGTTAGATTTAGATGTAGATTGTCCATACTGCTGTTCCATGTACTTTGGTTTGTAAGTCAAGAAACCAATAAAGCTACTGAACTGTAACAGTGAGCAACACAAAAATGTAAAGTACATTCGATTACTCAATACTTTTTTCAGGGAGGTATAGAAATCTGAAAGAAAGGGATATATGAGTTGGCTTTGAAAGATGCATGGCATAATTACTGGTGAGTAATCAACGAAACTGAGGGCAAAATCCTTCTCTCAGCTGTCCAAGTGCAAGTCATACTGATCTTCATTTGCTTGCAAGTATCTGAAAGCAAAATCAGGTTCCTGAAAGACACCAGAGGTTGACATACAGGAAGAGAATCCTAAAAGAAGACAGAAGTATGGGTTAAGGCCTGGGTGCTCTAGTGAGATCTGCACATGAAGACTGAAGGGCTCCACACAGCAAAGACTTCTTTCAGCTTACATGAATATCATCACAGGTTCAAGTCTAAGTGAGAAGTGCCTTTGTGGAGATGCCCAATGTCTTCCATTGGGATCTGAACAAAGACAGAGGAATTTGACTAATGATGCAAAGCCATCTCTTCCCCACACCTTTCCACGCTTTTCTTAGCCTAATGACAGCACGACCAGAGCTGATATTCAAGCCTGCTATATTTTCCTCAGGCAGCAATGTGCTTCAGAGTCTCCATAATTTTGCTTTCCATCTTGAGACAGGAACTTTCTAATATTTTCTTTAGGTCCTGGTACAGAAACAATTTTTCCACTTTTCAAATTTTTTCTAGCACAAAATTTTAGAGGTAGGTGCCACTCAGGTGATGATGCATTGCAGGTGATGCATGCAGAACCTCACAATCTTGAAGAAGCTCTTTGACTTCTAAGAATCTTTAGTGGACCCCTCCTTTTCTGGCGATAGCTAACTGGTTTAGACTGAAGTGCAGGGGAGGCAAAATATTCTGCAGAACTATTACATTCCCACTGTACATTGTTTCTATTGCTTTTCACATTTATACAACTTGCGAAACACTTGCCTTTCAATATTACTGACCACTTCCTTGGCTTAGGATTTGCAGGAGGAAGTGTATTCTTCGTGGTGCCCATGTTTTCCAAGAGACCATATGAAGTTTTGTCATTATTGGCTTCCTCCGGCTTTTTCAGACTCTTCGGCAAGAAGCAAAATGGAATAGCAGCTAGGAAACCAGTTGCCCCACCTATTAAAAAACCAAGCCACCATGCACCCACCCAGCGGGAATCCTGTGGGGTGATAGTGATGCTTCCTAGAATGGAGGGAAACAGATACAAGTCACCTATATGAAGAAGTTGAACCTTCCCACCCTTTATCTGCTAAAATAGCTACATTTTACAATGCCTGACTTTCAGTGTTAACGGTAATCACCTAATGAGAGACCGTTCATGCAGTGAAGGCGTGAGGAATCATACCCTGAATGGTGTTATGTTTCACCTGCCTTTCTACGTGATATGCTGACTGCCATTTTGTGGCATACATGGCAACACAGAGGTCCTTATCCAACACATAGGAAACCAAGACGGGTGACAGACAGGCCTCAAGCACGGGGTCCTTTTAGGCCTGATACATTTCTACCGAGACCATCCTGTGCAAAACTGAATTGTGTTGGTTACTACTAAGCATACGGGCATTCTCTGGGGCATCGGCGAGATTAACCACGACTTTAAACTTTGTATTGCAAGGAAGATGAGAGCAGTTGGTTGTATTTTTATGATTGTTACAGGCTGGCATGTTTAGTGGTGGACCAACACTATAAGACTTTTCACTGTGTGACCAGAATTGGCTCACTGTCCTTATGCTTAATCAAAATCAAACATTGGCTTAACAAAGGGCAAAGACAAAATAGTTTGTCTATCTAACTACAGGATCCTGAAGATCCGAAAGCTTCTCTGTCCTGCTGGTAAAACAGGATCACCCACTGCTGCTGCTACACTGGGCCTTTTCCTGAAAAAGCCATCACCAGTCCGCACTGCCTGGCTTCCCGTCAGGCTGGTCCGGTGGGTGGGGAGGTGGGCTGGTGAGGAAACACCACCTCAGAGATGGCTCCTGCCTCCTCCCGTGAAAGGGAACAGGATGCAGGGCCATGGCCACCACTTACGGGGATTGCTCTTCTCCCTCTGGCATTTTGCAGATGTGATTACATACATGTGTTTTCTTTCATCTGAATAAGCAAGGGCTGGAAAAAGGTGTATAAGATGTTGCAAACATTACAAGAATTGTAAATAACGTAAAATGCTCAGCTGAAAGTGCAGATAATCCGCCAAAACTGTAAAACTGCTATGCTAGCAGAATCCTTTCATGAAGATCCCAGTTTAGTAAAATGTCTTGGGTCTGTGAGAGTTCTTGGTACTAATTTTTAAAGTTAAACATGTATTTTAATCCTATAATCCTAAAACACAATTCTAAAATATGTTCCCTGTCTAATTCTGCCTTTACCCTAAAAGCTTCCAGTAGTTTAATAAAACTGTAATAAAGTCTATAATAAAATTAATGAAATAAATATAAATTAAAGATAAATTATATTAATATAATTATAAAACCATATGCAAATATGTAGAGAAACCTGTTGCCAACAGGTATTAGCTTACTTTCGCTTTACCTCCATTTTGCTTACCTAAATCCACAAATCCAATGTCCACGTACAGTTTTGCACATAAAGATCCCAACAGGAAGCCAAACATTGGGCCCAGCATGGCTATTGTGTGCAAACATGCTGAAAATATAATGAAGCAGATGCTAGTACATTTTAATGGCTGAATGTTTTCTTCTGCAGAAGATGATCGAACTCTTACACTACAAATCTCTCAGTTTACTTCATGTTGAGATTACCTACATACACGGGAACATCCTCTTCTTTAGCAAAATCATCAAGATAAGAGATGCCCAATGGTGTTATTGGTGTCTCACCAATTCCACGTAACATGTTTCCGAGTAAGATATATATCCACATATGTGATGATGGTTCCTTCTCACAGCCTGCAGATAATGAGAGGTTACATCTTTGTAATAGAATAGTTGAATGGGAAACAGTGACAAATGACAGGAAATTCAGCACATGAAATTATTATAGTTTAGTATTTAGGGTATTAACAGCGTTATCCTTATAGAAGATGAATGAAAGGCCATCAACCTCATTATACCTTTTAATAATCTTTTAATAAGATTGTATTTGGTTTCTAGAAATACAGATAAGTATCACCATCAGAAAAAATGGCCGTGTAAAAAAAATGGCAGATTGATATTGTCGTAAATATATTATGCGATATATAACTTGTATCTTTAACTTGAGAAGGTTGAGATGATTTCTGGGGCACAGCTTGGCTCTTTCTCTACCTATGTCACATGCAAAGCAACACGTAAAACAGCTGTATTCCATATGGTAAGCAAAATCATAGAAATCTCCTTTTATTTCTAGTTAACTCTGGGCAATAGCATGTCTTTTCACGCTATCTCTTCCACCTCCCCAACTCCAGGTCTTGGGTAATTGAATCCCTTCAGAAATTTCTTCGCATACAGTCTCAGCATCCCCTTCACTCTTACGGTGATTTTACTGTAGTTTGGAAATGTGAACACAGGAAACTGGGGATCTGGATCCTAGGAATTTGTGTTTGCTGGATGTTTCTTCTCCAAATGAAATGCACAACGTGCATTTAAGTGTTGGTAATGTTCCCAGACAGGTAGAGACTGAAGTTAGAAATCTAACGGAGTATTTTGCATGGGGCAATGATTTACTCCGCTTGCAACGAAGGATAAAACTAGCTCCTCTATTTGTACTTACAGTTCCTTACCTGATCGGGACACTTCCAACAAGGTTTCGTTTACACCTTCATGAATGGAACAGGGATTTATGCTTGAAGATAAGTTGGCTGAAGAAGCTGTATGTGGTGCTGTCTCATACTTATAACTGAAAACACACAATAGTAGGTTTAGAAGCAGTGTTCACTAGGGAAATACTAGCGTAGTAGGGCAGGAATCACTTGACTGCTGCTTCCCTAAAGAGAAAGGTATCTTTCTCAATCCAAAAATCAAATCCTACTAAAGGAGCAAAAAAGAAGATTATTTAAGCACATTTTGGAAAACCAAAACACTAAAATGAAGAACAAATAGAAGTTAGAATCATCTGTCTAGAAGACATAACATTTTAAGCTGTAAAATTCAAAAAGGCTTTTGAAAGTAAATCAGGTAGTATTGAACTGTCGGTATGAAAATTTAGGGTCAGGTCCAAGCGAACTCCCTATGCTGACCCCACAGTCAAGGAAAAAAAAAAAGAATGTCTTGAGTGTGAGTGTAAGTCCCCATTTTCATCGTAGATAGTATTTTGGGGTTTGGGGGAGGAGAGGAGTGAGGAAAGGAGAAGCCATCCTCAGGAGGTACCTGTTTGCCTGGTAATTGGCATTGGCTTTAGAAAGAGCTGTTGTATAGCAATAGGTGAATAAAGTTAGTAAGCTAAAAGACACTTTTTAGCTGTATTTACAGGGAGCAGAGCAATGCTGCAGGGCGTCAGCTGAGCAGCTCAGGTGCTGGAAGCTGTTCGACTGCTTTAGCATGATCCTTTTCCCAGACGTGAGCCCTGCCGAGGTGCAAAGTACAATTAGCTTAAGCAGAATAACATGGTAAAGCACACATTCTGCTTCTAGGAACTGGGCTGGCTCTGTTAGACCAGGCAGACTCATTTTTCAGGGTGAAATAAAGAGCATTCTTCAGAAGAGACAATGCAGAACAGTTTCACCATAAAAATTCAGGCACAGATACACGAGAAACTGTATGAGTTTCCCAGTGTAGATGAGCAAGTTACATAGTTTGGCTTAAGCAGTGGAAAATACAAGTCTGATGCTAGTGCAAGATCCACTGTCATGATAAAAAAAGTATTCCTTAGTTTTCTTTTTAGAGTAGTATACCTAAAATTATTCTAATACATTTCAGATGGCGTATTTTGCTTTCCTGTGGCAAACAGCTGCTCCTCACACAAAGCAGCCTCTCAGCTTCATGCAGAGCCTGGAGATGGATCAGTGCTGGTAGAACTGGTACTGGGGTTTGTCCTGTTCCAAATGCACGTGGCTGGTTAAAATGATTTTCCGTGGCTGGTTAGGCTAATTTTTATTCATCTTCTCCAGGCTCAGAGATTTACTGCATGTTGCTTATATGCGATAATGTTTCTAGCCATAGCTTTGAAACAGTGATAACATCTTTGCAGGTTGGTTTCTTCAACAAGTGAGCTCTGAATCCCTGATTTTACATGAGAGTTAACCTGTTACTATAAATAAAGTCATATTTCAGGTAGAGATGTCACTCAATATGGAGTTACCCGCTCAGAGCTTTGAGGTGCTGTTAAAAGCAGCACAAACTTATTCTGGAAATCATATAGGTGGACTCTATATCCCTCATCATTTTACTGTGGTTCATAATGGTTTGACTTTCCTGCCTATATGATCCTGACATCTCTATTAGCAACCAATGATGCCACATTCTTAGGTTAACACTGGTTTTCCAATAAGGTGTTCTTACAGTTAGCCATTCAGGAAGAGTATATAATTCATTAAAGCAATAGCACCAGCATAGTAGCATGGTTGAAGATTTTCAAAGAACAATATATTTTGTTTGAAACTTGAATTTTCATAAGATTATCATAGGTAAGTGTTTCCTCCTGAAAAAAAAAAAAAAAGATTTTGTAAAATCATTTCCTTTTCTGACTCTTTTCTGAACAAGTCTGACTGAAATCTAAAGTATTTTGATTTTCCTATTTTTTGGGGGAAGTTGAACTTTTACTTCAGAAGAACCGAATTTTTCCAACCAGATAAAATGAACAGTGATGTGTTTGTCAAACGTGATTCATTGCACACTGAGGTGAGGCTCTATAGGCCTTTGGAAATCTAAGACTTAATATACACCAAGTTTCATTCAAAAACCAGAAAGCAGTATCCAATTCCAACGTTAGGTTACCCAAATTAATCTTGATTGCTACTTACTATCCCATGAAGAAATGAGGCATTGCTGTTAAAAGACTTCCCAAAGCCATAGTAAAGCATCCAACAGCTATTACTTTGGGCCTATGAAGTTTAGCTCCAAAGTAGCTTACAAATGCAATCATCAGCAAGTTACCTGGAAGGTAATGAACCAAAATTAGTGTCAGATGCAGTGCCTCGTATTTCTCTGAACAGTTTTCTGCATGTTATGGAATATCAATTACCCATCTCAAAGCTCCCGTCGATTAAACCAACAGTAGAGGACATCAGGCCAAACCTTCGTTCAATCTGAGTGATGGAGCTTTTCATAATCGTACCAGACAATGTTTTACTCAAGTAGCTGAATGATAAAGCAGCGAGAAATGCCTGAGGAAAGATTAAAACAGAAAAAAGGAGGTAGAGGCAGGGAAATGGTCACAGAGGGATCAAATATGTTTAAAACTGTGTGGAACAATCATCACCATGGTATACATTTGTTACTCAAATTGCAGTGACAATGTTGTGTGTGAATTTTCACGTACGCTAATGATAACGGAGCGCCAGGGTGGTCTCTCGGCAATGTCTTCTCCTGCTCTGGTTTTCCTGCTGGAGAGGGGTGGTGCTAGGTGCTGCACTGAGAGCTGCTGCTTGCTTTAGGGTTCAGGTTTGCAATAGCCATCTTAATGTCCAGAAAGCCTGGTCTTCCCTGCATTGCTGGCCAGAGGTTTTCCAAAGCAGAAAACCTATGAACTGTGGAACTTAACTGTGGCAAACAACTCACTGTGGACTACTTACCTTACTGACATCCTGAGGTTAAATGTATCAAACAGCTGAGGCCCAGTGTTGGGCAGCCAAAATGGTAGGATTTCTAAATTTCTAGATGTTGCAGAAATGTAAAATTTGCTAGAGGTAAAATACCTCATCAAGATAGATTTACTGACACTAGTCCAAACTAAAATTAATCTTAGCCCCAATTATCTTCTGCTTGGGCCACATGTCACTTACCTTGGGCCAGTTCGTAACTAGTTGTAACTCAAACATATAGATAGCCATGGCATCAAAATAAAGGCTTTATGCAAATTTTTATGATGTCCCAGTATGTGGAAGGTGGTACGGACTGATTGAGTTCATCTCTGTCTCAAATGATGTATTCTGAAATGTGTGGATTATGGCTATGTCACCTGTATACCATGTACCTCATAAGGGAAAGCTTAATATTGTTTATAATTTTATAGTTGCTTCCACTGACACACATTGTGGCTTTTGTAAGTAAAGATGTATTTGATAAAAAGTTAAACTAAGTTTGTTTAAATATTATCCAGTTATTTCAACATAGTCTAAAAAACAAATAGACTTATTGCTCACTGGGTAAAAGTTCCAATACAACACAATGTTGGGTAAGTAAACAAAAGTAAAAATAGATTTAGACATTGCAATACTATCTACTGTAACAAATGAAGCCAATCCTGGAAGTAAAAGCTTGAAAATAGGTATATTTACACTCTTTTTGTCAGGAGTGAAGAGAAAAATCTCACAAGTGCAGGCTTTGTCCTGACATGTTTTATTTTTCCTGAGCTTGACTGGCAAAAATTCTGTGAGAACCACCTTTCGTGCCTTATGCCAGAGGTGCTCTCAGGGGTTTTGGCTGAAATCACAAACTGCTGATAAGCGTGAAAACACAAACAAAAATGACTTGGGTATTTCGGGTTTGAAAATGCAATCCCCAGGTAAATCATGAAACATTTTTTGGGCAGGTGAAGGAGAATAACAGTTTGTCTTTTATTACCTCCAAGGTATTGTGTCTATTAAATTCTAATTGCTACAAAGTTAGACATAGATCCACTATTGTGCAGCATTGCCCACATACATGATGGCAAAGTTAGTCCTGTGTGTCTCCCAGAGAGATCAGATTCTATTTTTGCAGGTGTATCTGGGTGACAAATGTGAGTCAGATAAAATAAATATATAACAATCTTCGCCTGATGCTTGAGCCAAACTATTTTGGATTGTTGGAAGCTTGCAATTATTTTCTTCATATTTTTTTCTATTAGTCTTTCATTTTACAGACGGTTTTTCAGAGAGAAATGTGTCCCTGATTGCAACTCCACTGAGCCTATGGAATTTAACCTGAAATGAAGTTGGCTGAAGAAGTAGTCAAAACATAAACCCAAAAATACCACTATCAAAAGAAATCTTGCTCTGGTAGTATTTGCAGCTCCGCTAGAAGCAATAAACACTAAGGCTTTAACATGAAAGCAAAATTCTCATTAGTTTACTTGCTTTGTTCCGTCAATTCTTCTTGTGCACTCCTGAAAGCTTGGATGCTTGTGGGAATCAGTGGACTGTTTGACCTACAGCCCCGGATTAGATAAAAGTCCTGGAATACAATTTACTGCACCCTATTTTGGCCCTACAAGAATGGGTGGTGTTAGCAACCTCTAGACAACGGTGTATCATAGCCACCTATTTTAGGATGCTTCAAGTCGTACTCTGGAGGTTGCTACCTCTCTCCAATGACCAAAAAGGGGATCTACCTATGAGTAACTTGAGAGTTAAATCAGGAATTTTTATTTTCTTTAGGACAAAGACAAGATCCAACCCTTCCTTGTACCTTCAGTGCGTATCCAGTTCCAGAAAAGATACGAGGAACAGGAATGAAGTAATCTGTCATGTCATACCGTGAACAACATTTTTTAACATATGGCAACAGTAATTTGTGGTGATATTGATAAGGCACCAAACCTTCAAGCCAGTGCAACAGGAAGACTTCTTTTTGACTGGTAGATTTTTGTTTGCTTCATCATCCAAAAACTGGGCAGGTTCTGCTTCCTGATTTGAGTCAGCGACATTGCTGGATTCGGTTTCCACTGTCATGGTTGGTTTCTTTACCGAGTGATCTGAACCCAAGAGAAAAACAATAATAAATACAAAAGCACATATGCCAAAATAGAGTTGCTTAAGGACCTTTCTGATGAAACAGTAGTTACAGGAAAATGCCGAGATGTTGAAACTGAACCTTTTCATTGGAAAGGATTTGGCTCAATGACTTGGGTGTTTCAAAGTGTATATTTGTTTAAATTCTGAAGTATCTTGTTTTGACATCTTTCTTTTCAAGTGAAATGGTCTTCACTCTCCCCACTGCCCCCACTCTGCCCCCTCTTTTTTTCAGACTAAAATGATTCTTAATGCTAAAAAGACAATTTCCACAAAAGAGTAAGAGACAAAGTCTCTGCCCAAAAATAAATGACAAGGGTCCACAAAGCATCAGTGCTGAAGCACAGGGAGTCCTATTGAAGCTCTGAATTTGCAGGCCACGCGGCTCAGGACTCAATCATTGTTTTGGTAAGATCTCTGTAGTAACACCGACTTAATCCTTCACACTGGCCTGTTGGAAACAATTCTTAATGACAGAAGAATTGATTATTTTAGCTACCTGACCTCCTATAAGGAGATTATAAGTTTTTCCTTCTTGCAATAGTATACAGGGTATCCCTAATCCCCTTCTCTTTGCAGAGTGCAGTCTATATCCCTTGATGCATGAAATTATCT